GTTAAATGAGATTCATTCTTCTGAGTACATATAGAAGCACAAGAAAAGATAGGGAAATTCGCCATTCAATATGATACTCCAATCACCCTCTTATTTTAAGTTTTGCCTCCAACATGTGTATCCTGACTCTTCTGTCAACTATTATTTTGTTTGTGTTTCTGTATGGTTGAATAAAATTCATCTACTCTGTATAATATATGTAATTCAACACGTTTGTTGAAGATGTTGATCTTTTGCTCCACGTTATATATCTTGAATATGAAATTGAATAATCGTTTTAGTTTTCAAAGTTAGCCTTCAACTTGTTAAAATGTATTTGCTCGTTAGAGGTTTGGTCATTTGTTTATGTAGCTTTTGTCGTAGCGTTTAAGGTGAACAAACTGGCTTCTTGTTATAGCATGTGTTTGCTTTTGTTTATTTAATATTGACATAGCATGTGGTTTGATTTCTTGCAAATTTATCAAAAGGGCCTTCTTACAATTGTTATGGTGGCTACCACTTGAGCATCCTGTGTTTAAGAGAATAAACTTTAAAACGAGGTTCAATAAAATATAAGGGTAAATCAGAAACTGCACTTTTAGGCATAATTATTTGTGGAAATTACATGTTCTAATATATTAAAAATTCTCATTTCTTAAATAAGATGCAATGTTTAATATTTCACAAATCAGAATTTTTTTAATTAATTAATGTATTTAAAATAAATTAATTAAACAAATCCTAACTATAATAATTTCAGTCTCAATACCTTGTCCCTCTCTACTCGACTCTCTTGTTCTCTTTCTCAATTTCCTCTCTCTCACGCACGGTGGCAGTCAACTCTTCTCTCTGATTGTTGTATCGCCGTAAATTGTCAATTCTGCAGATCTGGTTGAGGTGGGATCTGGTTGTGATGTTGTGATTCATAGGTGGCGGTAGATTGTGGCAGGTGGTTTGTGTGTGGAATGGCATGGGTGAATCTAGTGGTTGATATTTTAGGAATTTTCATTATTAGATCTGTTGTGCAGTGGCCGACAGTCGTGGTAGTAGTTGTGGTCGGGCTTTATGTGTGGGATGGTGTGTGTGACGCGATCTAATGATTACTATGATGGTGGTTTTGGGTGGCTGGTGGTGGTGATGATGGTCGGATCTGGCGGTGTGCTGTGGTGTTAGTACAGGTGGTTGATGGCGGGTGAGGTGCAATACTTGTGGTGGTTTTGTCATGGGTTGTGGTGGTTGGTTTCTGCCACTGTATTGGTGAAATGGGTGACGCTATTTGATGTTTGTTTTTTGCGACGGTGATGTTGTTGGTGACGGGGGCGGTTCTGGCGGTGACGATGGCGATGGTGCTGTTGGAAGTGGTGGTCGTCGCAAGTGATGGTGGTAACGTCGTGGTGGTGGAGGTGCCGTTGGTGTTGATGATTGTGGTGGCTTCGTGTGGAGTGGAGGAGGTGCCGTTGGTGTTGATGATTGTGGTGGCTTCGTGTGGAGTGGAGTGGGGCTGCGGGATGGTGGAGTCTGGGTTATGTTGTGTTTATCGTTCCAGTGGATTGTGTTTTTCCTTTTTTTTGTCGGCGTGAGATGATTGGATGGTGGTGGTGTCGTGGAGGTGGAGGCGATGTTGGTGTTGATGGTGGTGGTGGTGGCACTGCGTGGAGGGGAGTAGGGCTGCAAGATGGTAGAGTTTAGATTAGGTTGCATTGGCAGCGACGACGACGGCTGTGGTGAGTTGCTAGCTGTGTTATCGTCGGTGTTGATAGTGGTTGTAGTGAATTGCCGGCTGTGGTAGTGGCGGTGGTAGAGTAGGTTAGGGTGGGTGAGATTGTGGTGGTGGTGGTGGTAGTGAGGTGGTGTTATACTGTGTTTGTGACTAATAAATTGGTTGAAAATTGTGACTGTGACTCAATAATTGATTAAGTTGTGATCGAAAAATTAATTGTGACCAATTAATCTAATAATTTGGAATGAATAAATGAGTTGTGACCAATAAAAATTTTGATTTTGTCATCGATTATTAATCTGTGACCTGTGAACAAAATTATTTATGATCGAAAAATAATTCGTGACCTAGAGATTTTTTAATTTGTGACCAAAAAATAAGTTGTGACCAATAATTTAAGAAATTTGTGACTAAAAATTAATTTGTGACTAATTAATTTTTTGATTTTGTAACTAATGAATAATTTATGACCTATAAAAATTTTTATTCGTGACCGAAAAATAATATGTAACCTATAAATTTTTTGATTTGTAACCGAAAAATAAGTTGTGACTAATAAATTGATAAGTTATGACTAAAAATTAATCCGTGACTAATTAATTTTTTTATTTGTGACCGATGAACAAACTGTGACCTTCAAAATTTTTGAATTGTGATCGTAAAATAATTTGTGACATAAAATTTTTGATTTATGACCAAAAAATAATAAATTAGTAATTAAATTGTTAATTCGTGACCAAATTGTATAGATCCGTGACCTAAATATATTAAATTAATAAAATAATTAAATCATAAATAAATTTAAATAAAAATCTGATTTTTGAATTTTGAAACTTATTTTCTTAATTTTGAAATATACCATACTTAATTTCTCACTTATGAAATTTTCCCTAATTATTTATACACAATTGTACAATAACATGGGCAGCATTTTGAGTACAGCATCAGTATGGTTCTTTGAAAAAGATGACATATACAATGCAACAAACTGAAAAAATAACAATCAAAATATCAAAAGTTAAAGCAGACTTTGCCTGGTCGCTTAACTCCATATTTCTTCCACCCAAACGATCCACCATGTCTGGTACAGATTCCCAATTCTCTACATCTTGCATGTAGGGATCTTCAAGCTTCATCCTCATTTTCTGGGCTTCTCGACTCGCTGCTTCTTGAGCTAGAGACCAGTCGTAGAACTTACGTTTCTTGTCGTTACTTAGAATGTCGTAAATTTCTCGTAATTTCATGAACTTTTCTGATGCAGCTTTCAGTGGAAGTTCTGTTGTGTCTGGATGGTATTCCTTCGATAGCCTCCGGTAAGCTGCTTTTATTTCTTCCAAATCTGCATTTGCAGCTACCCCTAAGAACCTGCAATATTGATACCAATTTATCTCTAATTAAAATGGTATTATTTAAGTCCTCAATATTGAATAGATGATCTGCCATTATGCACATTAAATCCTATAATTTGTTGAAATTACTTTTATGATATGGGATATCAGCACCATATGCATACTTACATTCTCTTTTACTGATTTCTCTCAGTATTTGTTAGTCTTGCTGAAGATATGCTATACTCCAAAAATATTCATTCTTAGATGTCAGCTCAAGATTGAGCTTATGAAAACCTTATATTTTTTGTGAACATGAACCACCGAAGATACTCAAGAAACAACAATAGCAACTGCTAATTCATATGCAAGAATGCGTGTTCATTTGATCTTCCTTGTGGAGAGAGAGTGAGTTTATGGTCCAGTAAAGGATTTTTATCTTCAAAACCTATTGGAAGGGGCGTGCATATCTAAATACTAACTTCGGTACACAACAAGTGTCATCGACTTTTGAGAAAGGGTAAAAGAATGGGACCTATGGTTGCATTATTTCCTTCATATGTTCATTGCTGATTCTAATATCGGTGATTGTTCAACTCTTGATGCATTCCACTTATTGAACCGTCATAGATGAAGCTTTTAATTTAAGCCTTTGTTTGTCAAACATTCTACCACATTATTTGTTTTACAATACTCATTTTTAACCATACATTCTTCATTAAAATAATATTACATATAAATAAAAAACCTTTCTTCTATTTTAACCACATATTTCAATATCAATTACTATTCCATAATACACTTTTTGAAATTAAAGGGGCACAAGCAGGCTCTAATATCAATTGCTCAAGAAACTTTCCAATCCCTTTATGACAAATTTGATATGGACATGATAATTATAAATTCGAC